ATTAACTTTCTTCAAATTGAATAATTTGCTCTTCCAGCATATATGTGAAACCTTAGCTTTGCTTTACATAAAACTTTGGAAAGACTTATTGACTTTCTTAATTTGTCAACAATGTGTCTTGTCTATGGCTTGTTTGAAAGAGTTGATCAGAAGGGAAGAAAGAAAAGCCGACAGGAATTTAGAGTTTTTAGTATTTGATAATATACAAATGTCTAGACAATAGTGTGTAAACATTTGATATTATCTCCCATGATTTATCAATTACATTCAAGTAAATTATAAACATATTAATACCATTGAATCATTAAAAGGATCCGGAAACGAACTGTTAACTTATATTAATCCGTTTCCTAAAACATTTAAACACATTTCACTTGTATAATACTCAAGAAGGAGACAGCATTGAATAAATGAAGTTACACTAAATGGCAAACAAACAGAAAATATAAAGATATACAATAATTGGGTAAACATAAGAAAACAAATCGAATATATCAGAAACACAATTATATACAAATGAGGAGATGTGGTATGAATATCAATGAGACAACAATCCACCAATAGCATCAATGTTAAATAATGAAGTTGTGCATTAAAGTCATAAAGAACGCAATGAAACATCACAGGCCACCCGTAAAAAGTAAAATAACAAAATTACCGGACTGCAAGGAAAATTCAAAACGGAAAGTCCCTTATCAAATGGCAAAATCAAAAGCTAAAACACTTCAAACGAAGGGAAAACAACTGTCATATTACTGACTTGGTATAGGAATTTCCTTAGGTAGAAAATGGTGGTTTAAATCTGGTTTTTTAGCTAGCTAAACCTCTCACTTGTATGCCAGTCGCATGAAATTCCATTATATTGACAACAATGTGTGAACAAAACAAACAGACATAATAGGTAAAAATGTGAAATAAATGGATAAAGCAGTCAAAATACAGAGTAAAGCCACAGAGAAGCCACTACTCACTTACCCTCGAATCAAGCCATTTAGAAGGCCAGAATTACAAAGTTGAAGAGCCTCATAAACAAAAAATTACAAAAAGTTCGTTTTATAGATAATTTTCACAGTTACTTAGTACCAGTTTTTCAAAAAATTTAACAACCTGTAAAGCCACAGAGAAGCCATCAAATCTGTTAACAGTAAGGAACAGTTCTTTGTAAACCCAATAAGGATACTAGGCTTATAATTTAGAACGAAAGACGCGCGTTTCGTCTACCAAACACTACTCACTGAACCTCGAGACAAGCCATTTAGAAGGCCAGAATTCACAGTTGGAGAGCCTCATAAACAAACAATTACAAAAAGTTTTTTTTATGGATAATTTTGACAGTTACTAGTTTTTTTTAAAAAATCGTACCGAATCTATACAAGTGACAAAATATTTGCTTCCATTTAGACACTGATCATATATTTGGGTTACATAAGTACTGTACTAAACGAGGCCCTGAATTCGGACAGGCACATGTAAATGTCGCGGGGTTAAAGAGGTGTGATAACATGCCAAGCCAACCTTTTTTCATTGTTTTTGATAGAGGAATAACTAAGGATTATAAAAGTACGCACAATAAAAGATGAGTACAGGAGAAGGAACCTAACTAAATAATCACGACATATTAAACCACAAACAACACAATTTTAACAAAAATAAAAACAATGAAATGTTCTGGAATAACCACTGTAACTGAAATCAATCTCAAAAGCATTTGACTAGCTTACGTGATATAAACTCGTCATAGATAAACTCACCTTACCATCATTTTTTTTTTTATCATGGATGGATACCCCTATCCTTAGTTTTTCTTTTATATCATCATAGATACTAGGATTAAAATGTCGCACGTCAGATGCGCGTTTCGTCTTCAAAAGACTCAACAGTGACGCTCGAAACAAAAAATTTAAAAAGCCCAAATAAAGCAAAAAGTTGAAGACCATTGAGGACCCAAATTTCCGAAATGTTTTGCCAATAAACAGCTTCGCCATGAGCGCATGATACGCCCGTCGCTTTTTAAAAGAATAAAGTTCAATAACTTCTCAATGTCACATCAGACATTTATGAAAAACTAAAGGGAGGTTATCTTAATAGATATAAACCCGTCACCAAAGTTTCATGAAAACTCCTCAAAGCACTTTAAAGATATTCTTCGAAAACTGAAAAATCACCCCTTTTTTATGAATAAAATCCCATTACTCGGAAACGTAAAATTGAAAATTTATAATAATCGAAAGGGAGCTTACGTCAATAGGTATAAACAATTCACCAAAGTTTCATGAAAACTGCTGAAAGCATTTTTGAGTTATTGTCCGAAAACTGGAAAATCATCCTTTTTAAATAAATAAAACCCCATAACTCGGAAATGTAAAATCTAAAATTTATAAAAATCGAAAGTGAGCTCATGTCAATAGATATAAACAATTCACCAAAGTTTATTGCAAATTGGTGAAAGTCTTTTTGAGTTTTTGTCCGAAAACTGGAAAATCCCCCTTTTTTAATGAATAAAACCCCATAACTCGGAAACTTAAAATCTAAAATTTATAAAAATACGAAAGGGAGCTCACGTCAATAGATATAAACAATTCATCAAAGTTTCATGCAATTGGTTAAAGCGTTTTTGAGTTATTGTCCGATATGTTGACGACGGATGGACAGACGGACGGACGGACGGACAACGGTATACCATAATACGTCCCGTAAACGGGCGTATAAAAACTGCTAAGGTAATCTATTCCTGGGGTATAAGATACAAGGCTTCGAATTTTGTACGTCAGACGCACGTTTTGTTTACAAAAAAACTCAACAGCGACGGTCGAATCAAAAAGTTAAAAATCCTTGGCATTTCGAAACATTCAAAGCTTTGTAAACATTTGATTTGTGCTAATAACAATATCAATGATAAGTAAGGCTTAATTTCATACCAGCAGGTGAAGTATTTAGAACTTGCTTTCAGAAAAAAAGCATTTTGTGATACGGTTAAATGTTGTTTAATAGAAAGAAAGTGTATGGGGTATCCATCCATGACACAAAATCAGTATTTGCACAACAACAACAAAAAAAAACACAAAAAGCAAAGGAACAGCGCTTTTATTGCAGTTCTTCATCTCAAAGTCGCAGTGAGGTCACACGGAGCAAATAAAAAATACTATCACCTCACTGCGGTCCCTTAGTTTATTTTTGTGTTTGCAATGTTTGTGTTATTTATTAGAGTAAGTGCAGAATTTTCTGTTGTGATTCATTAGTGTACTTGTTGTGTGCACAATTCTGTTAGTTTACTAATCAATAAAAAGGGAGAAACTTGACAACCAATTAACTACAGGCTCGTGACTCGGGACAGGCACATACAGAAATACAAAAACAAATGTTAAAATCACCTGAAAAGGGCTTAATACGTCAGATCGATACTAAGCAGAAAGATATATAACAAAAACACAGACCGGACGTGGCAGGGTATTTGTACATCCCTACAACAAAAAAGACACTACGCACAGATCTGAGAGTACTCGCAGTTACTTACAGCTAGTTCAAAGCCAAAAACAATTAATAAAAAAATCATTCATCTTGTTTTATTGTGGATGTGTTGATGTTGTGATTTCTTGTTTTGTTGTGATTGTATTGATGTCATGATTTTTTGTTTTGTTGTCGTCATATGATTTCTTGTTTTGTTTTGGTTATGTTGATGTCATGATTTCTTGTGTTTATGTTTGTGTTGATGTCATGGTTTCTTGTTTTGTTGTGGTTAAGTTAATGTCATGATTTCTTGTTTTGTTGTGATTTCTTGTTTTGTTGTGGTTTGGTTGATGTCATGATTTTTTGTTTTGTTGTGGTTTGGTTGATGTAGTGATTTCTTATTTTGTTGTGGTTTGGTTGAGGTCATGATTTCTTGTTTTGTTGTGGTTTAATTGATGTCATGATTTCTTGTTTGTTGTTGAGTTTATGTCATGATTTCTAATTTTGTGGTTGTGTTGATGTCAAGATTTCTTGTTTTGTGGTGGTTGTGTTGACGTCATGATTTCTTGTTTTGTTGTCATACAGTTGATGTAATGAATTCTTGCTTCGTTGTGGTTATGTTAATGTCGTGATTTCTTGTTTTGTTGAAGTTGTGTTGTTGTCAAATGATTTCTTGTTTTGTTGCAGTTGTGTTGTTATCAAAAGATTTCTTGTTTTGTTGTGGCTGGGTTATTTACATCTGATTTCTTGTTTTGTTGAAGTTGTGTTGTTGTCAAATGATTTCTTGTTTTGTTGAAGTTGTGTTGTTGTCAAATGATTTCTTGTTTTGTTGCGGTTGGGTTATTTACATCTGATTTCTTGTTTTGTTGCGGCTGTGTTATTTACATCTGATTTCTTGTTTTGTTGCAGCTGGGTTATTTACATCTAATTTCTTGTTTTGTTGCCGTTGGGTTATTTACATCTGATTTCTTGTTTTGTTGCAGTTGTGTCGATGTTAAATGATTTCTTGTTTTGTTGTGGTTGGGTTATTTACATCTGATTTCTTGTTTTGTTGTGGCTGTGTTATTTACATCTGATTTCTTGTTTTGTTGCAGCTGTGTTATTTACATCCGATTTCTTGTTTTGTTGCTGTTGGGTTATTTACATCTAATTTCTTGTTTTGTTGCGGTTGGGTTATTTACATCTGATTTCTTGTTTTGTTGAAGTTCTGTTGTTGTCAAAAGATTTCTTGTTTTGTTGCGGCTGGGTTATTCACATCTGATTTCTTGTTTTGTTGCAGTTGTGTCGATGTCAAATGATTTCTTGTTTTGTTGTGGTTGGGTTATTTACATCTGATTTCTTGTTTTGTTGTGGTTGGTTTATTGTCATGATGTCTTCTTTTGTTGCAGTTGTGTTAATGTTGTATGACTTCTTCTTCTATTACTGCTGTTTTGCTGTCTCAAATCTGTTTAACTATATTTTTTTGTTGGCTTCACATCCAATAAATATTTTCTAAATAATTGTCTACTATCAACCATACCACATGCTTTGGTTGTGCCAAAAAAACAAAGAAATATGTTTATTTACTTTTATTGTTTTGCATTCATTTCATATCAATAACAAATAATTTAAAAACAATTTATGTATAAAAATACTATCTGGATTTATACAATCAATGTTTACAAAATAAATAACATACAATAATTACAATGTGGACTTGAGCAACAAAAATATCACAGATTAAAATCAAGGAATAAGAAAGAAAATTATAGTCACAGAAGACCCTTAGAAAGTGCTCCTGATATATGATTACTAAGGATTTTCTACCCAAGAAATAGATAATTTTAGCTGTATTTGGCAAAAACTTTCAGAATTTTGGGTCCTCAATGGTCTTCATATTTGTACTTGGCCTTTTTAACTTTTTTGATTGGAGTGTTTATACTGGTGAGTGTTTTGCAGACCAAATGTGCTTCTGGCATACAATATTTTAATCCTTGTGTCTAAGAATGAGTTTATAAGTAGTAATGTTAGACACTAGTGGAGAGCAAGAGTTCTACTTATACCATGCCTTGTCCGTGTTAATGGAAATCTTATCAAAAAGTGTCATAGATTTCCTAATCATGTACTTTTATTTCTTTTTCATGCTCATTAACATTCAATTGTGAAAAAAATATGTAGCCTGTGACATTGGTTGCTGGATAAATATTTAATTTCAATCCGACTACTGTAAATTCAGAAATTATTGTGTGCATTTATTATTGAGAAATTTTGTAGAACAGACTAAATTACGAGTTAATTATTGCGATTTCAGGAAAATATGCATGCAGTTATATGTATCAGATATAAGATTGCGAGTTCTTATTATTGCAATACTAATTCAGTCTAATCATTCGCAGTAATAGAAATCTCACTATAATTACTGAACTTACAGTAAGCAATTGTTAACCAAAAAATAAATCAATGGTTGCATTTTGTATCGAAATCCCATCAAAGGTCTTGATGATTACCGCAATTCAAAGCAACAATGTGCAAGTTTACCAAAAAAACGGATCAAGAAACATTGCTTCCTTTAGTGTAAACCAACAGTAATGTTGTGTGTCTGAATTCTGAAGCATAAATCATTACATGAAGTGATTCCTCAGAAAATCAAGTTTAAATGACTTAAATGCAATTTTAAGACCAATCCTCAAAATATCTACACAATCAATAAACATTAACTTAAACATTGAAAATTGACTTTGTTACTATATTTAAATGCAACTAAAAGTTACAAACAGGATTATCTCCCCATGTGAATTCTAATGATTTATGTTAACTTTTGCACCAAATATTTAATCTAGAGGCAACAGGTATGTTCTGTGATATCAAATGCTATCAATGATTCTAATGTAAGGAAAAATAGGATGGGATTTAATTACATGTATAACTTTGCCAAAAATATAGTTTCTCTTCTACTTCAGAAAACAAGTATCAATAAAACTGATCTTCTGTCTGTTTGGGTTGCTCACCCAATTTTGTCAATATATTGGAACTTTAAACAACTGTCCTTTAAGTGGGATGTTTAGCTAGCTATAAAACCAGGTTTAACCCAACATTTCCTTTGGAAAATTCCAGTACCAAGTCAGGAATATGGTAGTTATTTTAAACTTTTCTGTTGAGTGATAGCATTTTATTTTGTAAATTTTTATGGACTTTCCCTTTTTGAATTTACCTTGGAGTTGGGTATTCTTGTTATACTCTTTTGCTAACATTAAAATAAAATAAATATGCAGAATAAATTACAAATGCATGAGATAATACAATTAAGAACCATACTAATTATCACAGACTGTTTGACAACATCATGCATTCACATCTCAAATAATTAATGAAATATATTACGTGATTAAATCAACTGCTTAAATACCTTAAAATCTAATATCAAAAGTATCTTTTGAACTCTGAAAATCCAAAAATAGCCAATAAGATTACTCCGTTTGTACTGCAATTCAGGTATCATAGTATCTTAGGGTAAAAAAGTTCCTTTAGATATTGAAATAAAATATTCTTTTGTAATTGATAAAAAATATTTCGATATAAAAATAAGAAGACGTGGTTTGATTGCCAATGAGACCACTCTCTACCAGATCATTTCTGGATATGTATGTATATACAGAAAAACTCTATGGTCATTTCAGGTTAAGTATATAAACGGAGAAACAATCAAAGAACTTTAAATATTTGGCCCTATATAAATCTAATAAATTAAGTTTAAGATTGTGTATAAATTAAGTTTTCAGTTTGTGAAATCATGATTATGTTTTCAGTTATGAATCATGATTATCTTTTCACAGTATATGAATCATGATTATGTTTGTTATGTTTCTGAAACATGATTATGATTAATGACTACTAACACATTTTTATAATCAAACAAGCGTTTTTTAGTCAGTACATGTATATGTTCTACATATCACAAAGCTGAGAGTCTCTTCTGACATAAGCACACTGATTCTTTTTATCACAATTAGCATCAATCAGACAGGACACACATTGGTCATATTTTAGCATAAAGTTAAAAAAAAAGTCTGTCAATGATGAATCACAGCTTGGATCTAGCATCAAATATCATATGAATGTTTAACACAATATGATCAGAAGCACATGTTTTCAATAATCATAATTGTCTTTAATTGTCAGTTTTATCGTTCAAAATATCCATATTTCTTCATTCTTTCCTAAACCTCCTCCTCATCATCATCTCTCTCATGTCATCCTCTTCTTGTCATCCTCTAGAAACCTCAATTCAAAGGTCATCTCAATTCAAAGTTCATCTCAATTCTCTTGCTCTTTATCTACAGGTTACACTGTATATGAACGATTGCAATGCATGAATCATGATTATGTTTATTAAGAAACATGATTAATCACACCATATGTTTAATCATAATGTTAGGTAAGGCATTTCTTCTTTTCCTCCAAGAGGCAAGGTTCAAAGTTTGTTGTTTGACAGTTTGTAAAAAAGATTTCAATTCTTTATGGTCATCACCCTGCAAAACAAATGTCAAAATTTATATAAAATATAAAATTCAAAATTTGTTATCACTTTTTGCCACATAGGAAAATACATCAATAACACAAATACAACAAATCATATACTATTGATTTATTATTATTCGTGGGATACCAATTTTCATGGAATTCATGGGTCTAGTTGAGTCACAAATTTGAATATCGATCAACAAAGTACAAATGTGATAAATATAACCACAAATCATCTTCATAAATAATTACCTTAAAAACATATGAATCTCTGCTCAAGTCTGAAAGCTCAAAGGCATTTTCTACATCTGGGTCAATGCTCACAACACATCTATTCAATATGAATGGTTCCTGTAAATTAAAAGAGAAATATAGCATATAAACATAACAAATTTGAAGAAAAAAATTTACAGCAAAAGGGAGATAACTCAATTCAAATATTATCATTTATACAGATTGGAATATTCAACAGGAGTCAAATCTATTAAAATGATTTTAAGACTAAAATAAACCTTTTAATTTTATTCACCTTTTTGTATTTAAAGAGGACAAAATAATAATTATATTATATTGGTTATTATAATGTGTTTAAATGTCATGTTTGCTATAAATGATTATTATTTCGTAGAGCAGGACATGTTTTATTGTTGATAATTTTATACCATCCTCCAATTAAAAATCTCCTCAGAATTGATTGCTGTTTTTAACAATTTTTTTTAATCAATGTTTTTAAAACTTTAAGCTTTTTTTGTTACTTTAAAATTATTTTTTAATCTGTTAATGCAAAAACTTGGTTTTATTGCATCATAGACAAATCTAGGGTTGTTTCTCTATGAATGATTTACACTATAAACAATGTTATTGAACAACGGTTCTTTTTGTCACATAATAACATGAGCATAATGACATAGGAAATATTTGGGAAAGTGCATGAATTTGAAAATCATCTGTTTGCACATACCCAAAAACTCCTTCTGGTCATCATATCATTCAAATATACAATTTACATCCATATAAAACTTACCCTAAATGTTTGGTATTTGCCGTTTTTCTCTTTAATAAGCACCACAGCAGCCTGAATAACTTTAGATTTTCTAGCGAACAATAAATTATCTTCTTCATTATCAGTAATGTCTGTATCACTCTACAAGAGATAAATTAATTGATTGATTAATTGGTGTTTAACGCCACTTTCAGCACTAGTAGCTATTTCGTGGCAGTTTTTGTTTCGTTAGAGGAAGTCAAAGTGCTAGGAGAGAACCTCCAACCTTTTACAGGAAAATCATAACAAATTAAGACTTTATTTCTACTTTTGTCAATTTTGAATGAATCAACATGTTATTTTCAATTGAATATAACGAAAAAAATAGAAACAATTGAGTATGCACACAATTTCAAACTATTGACCAACTGATCATAAAAAATTTGAGTGAATAATTTCATAATGAAGTCTTAATACTATAATTGAAATTGTGTTAAAAGAAAAGACACTTTATAAACTTTAGCCAATGTTTAAAATTTTAGCATAAAAAATCAACAGAAAAAAATCAAATGGCTTACCTGTCCAAGAGTTAATAAGACGCAATGGACTGTTGAGAATTTCATTGTCTTTAAACGTTTAGCTGCCCATGTTTGGTCTGAAAGTGGCGCCACCTGGAGTCGACTTATTATAATATCACAGACTTCTTTCCTGTTCCATCCTAAGACATCAATGGCAACCTGTAAACATTTAAAATATTTGTCCTAGAAAAATCTTAGTTTGTAAAAAGTCATGATTATTCTTCTTTAGGTGATAAAAGACTCCTATTGTTTACATTTATTTGGGGTCAATTTGTGGAACTAATTTTTCGGAAGTAAGACTTGCCCTGACCAGGCTTTAGAACTGGGTAGGTAAATGCTCAAACTGATCTGTGGGGATACAGTGTGCTTAATGTCTTAGTTTACACCATAATGCATGGTGGTGCTCCAAAAAAAGGAGGTTTATACAGAGCAAACATTTACATTGGTGAAGGCATAATCTTGGACTTTCAGGTATTGAACTGTCGCATTTTTCACATTAATAAAAACATCCCAATAATTTCTGAATTTACAGAAATAGAAACATACTGGTCTCATTGACAATTATACCACACCTCCTTATTTTTATATCATACTTAAAATGACAACAAGATTGATAAACAATTTTACTTTCGAAATATGAAGAGGTTGATGCATCAATTGCTAATTACTTCATAAAATGTCAAAAATATGTGATCTCGTTCTCACCTTGTTGACCTCAATCTTTTCAGTGATAGAAATTCTTTGAGACATATTTTCTGAAATCTTTCTCTTTAATTTTACTGTTCCACTGTGCTTTGTTTTCTGAAATAACAAAATAAAATAAATAAATTTAATGTTGTAATCAAATTTGTTAATTCATATACAATATGAATTGTTCCCCTTTAACAGTCAATTTGTTAATTCATTAAATTTTCAGTTTAAAATAAAAAATATACATGTATGCTTGGTTAGTATAAAAAATACGTAAATGCATAACACACATTTCAAACATTGAGATGATTTTTATTGCATTGTTTCAATGAATTAGATTTTTTTTTAAATATATGTAAATCTATAGAGAGGTTTCTACATGACATATTTGGAGTTTGAGTTATTTCCCTTGGTGGGGTAAATGGTTGATTTTCTTGTTTGACTTACGAAATTGAAACATGACGTACAAACAAGTTGGATAAAAGATCCTTACTAGATCATAGTAATGAATTTAAAATCGAAATAAAAAAAACAACTAAGTTTAGCTTTCAGCTGGGGTCACAATAACTTGAAGGCTACATAACAATTCTTTTTTGCTCATTATTTCTCTAATTAATGAGTCATCATATGGAATTAAAGGGAGATAATATATAAAAATACCATAAATTTCACTCTGATACCAATCCGATCTAACGATGTGATAATTTACATATGATTGACAGATTTTAATATTCAAAGGGCCATATTTATAGGTGATTATCCCAAATTAATAGCTGACAAATTGAGTTATAATTATCAAATTCACATACTGTAAATTCAGAAATTATTGCGTGCATTTATTATTGCGATTTTAGAGGAAGAGACAAAAATGCGAGATTAATTATTGCGAATTCAGAATCATCTGCATAAAGATATGTGTATAAGATTTCGGAATGCGAGTTCTTATTATTGCGTTACTCAACCAGTCGCATTATTCGCATTAATAAAAACCTCGCAATAATTTCTGAATTTACAGTAAGCTAATCATACTAATTACTTATTAGCATCCACTTTATAGATACACAGCAATAAGACCACTGACCAGTGAAGGGTCATTCGGTCATAAAAGAGTTGATGGGATAAAACAAGGACACCTTGTATCAAAGCCTAAACTACTTTACATTGGACTATAAATTTAAAAGTACAGAGACAGAATATCCATATAATGTTAATGGTAACACGAGAAGCCTGTTGTACTTCAAAATTTTTCACTGTATGATAAAAGTTGTTTTCCAGTTCAAATACTGTATATAAATAGAAATAAGAATATGTGGTATGAGTGCCAATGAGGCAACTCTCCATCCAAGTCACAATTTGTAAAAGTAAACCATTATAGGTCAAAGTACGGCCTTCAACACGGAGCCTTGTCTTACACCAAACAGCAAGCTATAAAGGGCCCCAAAAATGACTCGTGTCAATCCATTCAAACAGGAAAACCAATGGTCACCCTCATAAAGGTCACCCTCAGTATCAGAGAAAACTGACCTTTTAAAAGAGGTGACCTTTAATTTGATATTACGACAGCTTGACATGAATAGGGTTCTCATTTAATAGAGGTTCCCTTTATAACAGGTTTGATTGTAAATTAATTTTAATAAGTTGATGTTACACTCCAAATCACAGGTTTTTTCCCAATATGCCCACAGCTTCACCCCTCCCCTCTGCAACCAATTGAGTGGACATGCTGTCTCTTTTGTTTCATTGTGAGATTTACATGTACAATCTATTGAGAGAGATTTTTGGTCATAAATTTTGTCAAAGTACATAAAAAACAACATTTTAATTAAATGTAAAATTTTTATCAGGACATTACATAGGAACTGATGATCATTGTTGAAGGCTGTACAGTGACCTATAGTTTTTAATTTCTGTGTCATTTGGTCTCTTGTGGAGAGTTGTCTCATTTGCAATCGAACCACATCTTCTTATTTTATATGACTTGATTTAATTTTGAGCATGGATTTATTTATAACAGAATCTTTTGAATTGATTTTATTTCCTAAACTGTTCCAATACTTTTATATATCTATACTTACTGAGTTTATATGATCTAAGATATCTTCTATTTTTAGTTTTGCCTCCATCAGAGCACTTTTATCTGTGTGGTCTCCTGATGTGAACTTGTACAGTCTTTCTAGTAGTAATGGGTACCTGAAAAAATATATCATGCAAAAATAAAAATACACTGTGTTCAGATATACCATTGAAAATCCATTATCTGGTTAAAGATCAACTTACTCAGAATTCATTAATATTGATTCAATACCACTTTTCTAGGATTTCACTTTTCTAGGATTTATAGGTGAACTAAGAATTTCAATGTTCAATGAAGTACGAATTTTCTAGAGGCTTTAAAAAAACATGAAATCAAATATTTAGGAAATTTTCATTTTTCCTCAATCCACGAAAATTGGTACCCACGAAAATAAATGAATCCACATTAATTATTGTTCACTCTATCTTACTTAATTGGAGGAAAGACAGTCAATTGAGCATTAGGAAATTGAAAAAAAAAAGCAGAAACTTGTTGCAGAGATTGACTATATGCGGTCCCAATCAGTGATATATAAATAAAAATTCAAATTATAAACTATGGATTCAGGAAAAATTGTATTTTCGTGGAAATTTAATTTCATGGTTTCGCCAAATTCTGTTGAACATTTAAATTCCAGCGGCTCTTTTCACAAAAAATCTTAAGAGTAAAAGTACTCGTAAGTCCTACACATTTCAGTATAACTTACGATCAATTTTAATCGTAAGATTTTTTGTGAAAAGAGTCGCAGGTATTTACTTATATCCACGAAATTCACGAAAATTAGTATCCCACGAATAATTATGAATCCAAATCTGATTTTAAATTGTATTCAAACAACTGATTCCATCAAATGTCTGAATTTTCACAATAATACTTCCATCCACTGTCGTTTTGTCTATGAATTTAAAGTCTGAAATTTCAACTTTTCTAACACTATGAAATATTTTACACAGAACTTAACATTAACCTAATATGAACTCTTGAACTAAGTGTTTATTAAAGGCCCATTTTTATAATTGTGATAAATATAATTATTTAAATTATATATTTAAATTGAAACTAGAAACTAAAGTTAAGATAACAATAATTTTGTGTGAATTCTTGACCTTGGATTGTGGGGTGAAGGATTTAAAAACACATAAACTGTGATCAATGTACTACTAACAAATGAGAACTTGAATGAAAATTAAAAACAACAACAACAAAAAGGGTCTTGACCATGGCATTTTCGTAAAGGGACATTTTTTCCACTGAATGACATTTAACTATTGGAAACATCATGTAAACAAATCAAACTGTGAAAAACTGTAAAATGTGTGAATCATTATTATCAATACACCTGTATATAAATTTATACATACACACAAAAACTAATTAATATAAATAAGAAGATGTGGTATGAGTACCAATGAGACAACTCTACATCCAAGTCAAAATGTATAAAAAGTTAACAATTATAGGTAAAAGTACGGTCTTCAACACAGAGACTTGGCTCACACCTAACAGCAAGCTATAAAGGGCCCCAAAATGACTAGTGTCAAATAATTCATTATTATTTGTGGAATACCAATTTACATGGATTTCATGGGTTTAGCTAAACAACGAATGTAAATGTTCAAACGAGTTCAAATTTTGCAAAGGCTTCTTTGCAAACTTTGGCAAAACCACAAAATCAAATATCCATGACAATACAATTTTCCTCAATCCACGAAATTGGTACCGAATATTAAATGAATCCACAGTAATTGGCAGTTTTCCTGTATATTTACCTCATTATTCGCTGAACAGGGACCATAAGGAATGAGGTAAGTGGCATCCGTCGTAGAACTGGATTCTCGTCTTGTGAAACCTTCAAAAATATTCTTAGCAATTCTTTCTCTCTCTCTAATTGTTCAAGAAGAACTGCAGCTTGGCCCTGCAAATTTTAGATAAAAAATAATAAATGAATTAAGTACTTATTACATGTATTAATAAGTTTTTTTAAATTCCTGTTTCCCTTGTAGATTAGGGGCGGATCCAGCCATTTTTAAAAGTGGGTTCCAACCATATGTCCCCATTCAAAAGCATTGATCGTCAAAAAAAAGGGGGGGTTCCAACACGCCCCCCCCTGGATCCACCACTGCATCATATGTATGTCATCAAAAAGACAGATTCATGTTAATACAATTTTTTTATTTTCCAACTGATTTGTAAAACTATATTCCATGCATTTGCTACAGTCAAATCTCTAATTGATGGTGGCAAATCTTCAGGTACTGTTATTCCTTAATTCCCCTTAAGCAAAAAACCTTTAATATATGTATCAATTACTGAATTCATCATAGGTTAGATCCATTCTTAAATTCTGCCTTTTAAATTAACAAAATAAGTTACAATTTTCTTCTGAGACAGGAATTTTTCATCATTTTCTTTCAATTGACCTCCTTTGTACTTAAATAACAGCAATTGTTACATATGTTACACTATAAACACAACTGATCGAAATGTTACAATTTTGTAACCTTGATATTCATGTTTTTTTATCTTATTTTCTAAAATCACATCATCTAATCTGAAAACTCATCACCACAATTTTCAAATAATTAGCATTATGCTGATAGTGTACCAAACTAATTTTGTGATGACATCAGAAATTTTTGGGCTTGATTAGAAAAGACAATCTCACAATTCATGTTGATTACATAAAACAATTGATTCAACACAATTAAAGTTGATTGAATACAAGTTGGCCAATTGTTAAAACTTAAGAATGAACCAGATTAGTCAAGCTTCTTCATTACCGATAATGAAATGACGTATGGAAAGGCAAATGTTACAAATTGAAACTATCCTTGAATGAACAACTAGGATCTGTGCTAAATGCCAGTCAATGATAAATAAATGGTCTCATTTTAAGATAGCTGTTGAAAACATCTATATTATTTTTGCAATTTCTCGTACAGCTTTTCAATTTAAAATTTGTATGTAGAAGTTAGAGGCTTTCTTTTCACAACAATATAAAAATAAGGAGATGTGGTATTATTGCCAATGAGACAACTCTCCACCAGAGACCAAATGACGTAAAAATTAACAACTATAGATCAGCATGCAGCCTTCAACAATGAGCAAAACCTGTACTGCATAGTAAGCTATAAAAGGCCCCAAATTGACCAATGTAAAACAATTACAAAAAAACTAAAGACCTGATCAAGGATTTGTATAGTGAGACTATACAAATCCTTGGCCTGATTTATGTACAAAACAATAAACAAAAAACAACAAACAGCAACCACTGAATGACAAGTCTGATTTGTGTGTTTTTCTAAAAATGAAACTTACCTGATTAACACAGTAGTTTTCAAAGGCAAGAATCAGTGAAGAGGAATCCAGAAACAAATTACCAATACTAACAGTTCTCAAATTCTGAAAACATACAAATATTAACAGTTCTCAAATTCTGAAAACATACAAATATTAACAGTTCTCAAATTCAAAAAACATACAAATATTAACAATTCTGAAATTCTGAAAACATCAGAATACTAAGTTTTCAAATTCAGAAAGCATAAAAATATTAAAACAGTTCCCAAATTCAGAAAGACATTTCTATTTCAATTAAAATCACAAAATTTTTTTTTTATCTATAATTGTAAACGTTACCCAAAAACCAACTTTAAATACCCTACACATTTTTGTAAGGCTGAAACCCAGTCGACAAGTTTTTTGACAAACTCTTTGCTTGTCCATCACTCAGGAATGCTGATTTTTCGTAATCTTGTGTTTTTGAAGTTTACATCATATCTCCGTCCCATCACTGGTATTAACATTGATAAGTTCAAATCATAAACATCTTTTTAATAATTCATTGTTTTTAAACACAAATATGCAAAAAAACATGTAACAAAAATTTACCTCGTCCCCCTTTTTATCAGCTATATCAACTGCTCCCTGAAGTTTTTTGACAAACTGTGTATTGACATGGATCAGTTCTTCCAGGTTCAGAAATATACCTTCCAAATGTTCTAATGACAGCAACCCAGCTGACTTCATTGGCTTAAAGAAATGCTGTAAAGAAAAGTACATCAGTGATAATGGGTGTCTTAATGTCCAGCAGAAGATATATCATGTATTTTTGGGCCAATAACATGTCACATTAATATAAGCTTTTTTGTAAAAGACAGTAGGCTGGTGATGATTTTTAAAAGAGGGACGAAAGATACCAGAGGGACAGTCAAACTCATAGATCGAAAACAAACTGACAACGCCATGGCCAAAAATAAAAAGACAAACAGACAAATAATAGTACAGATGACACAACATAGAAAACTAAAGACTAAGAAACACGAACCCCACCAAAAACTGGGGGTGATCTCAGGTGCTCCGGAAGGGTAAGCAGATCCTGCTCCACATGTGGCACCCGTCGTGTTGCTTATGTTATTACAAATTCGGTATTTAATTAATTTATGATAGGTCACAAGTCAGGCATCACATGTCAACCAACTTGGACATTATTCCAACCTTGAGCTGACCATGCAATCTCTGTTTTTATCTTATTTTCCAAATGTGCTTTGAGTTAGAAACTCAACTTGAAAAATGGTATCAAGTTTTTTTCTGTTCTTTTGAGAATTAATAAAATATTATATTATCCTTTAATGAAAAACAATTTGAGGAAATAATAAGGTTTTGTGACCTGAAAACTTGTTTCAAGATATTCTTCAACTTTGCTTTAGGGGCTAATGGGGGAAAACATCTTTTGGCATACATGACATGTGGATAAAACATCATTTTAAAATTACATAAAGGGGGAGGTATGATTTGCCCTGAAATCACTTTTAATTTTAAGATAATTAATATCTGAATTTAAATACCTCTTTCAGAATAGCCAGATCTCGACCATAACTTTCTTCTGTGTCTTTAATTTCTTGTATAATTTCCTTCCTCTCAATACTCTTCTTTTCACATTTGGAACAAATCTTTGTCCTATTGTTATTTTCATAGTTACCACATTCTTTGCAGCCTGTGTTGACCTAAAATGAAAATAAATAGAAAACTGTATACCTATATTCCTTGAAACCATTAGATTCCTAAACTAATACAAAAAAAGAGAGGCAATTAAACTAACAATTTGGATGATAAAAAAAAAATCAACATGCAGACTTCAACCTTTATACATGAGTCTCTACTGTCCCCAAAAACCCACCCACCAACCACATACCTTCGCAAAGTTTAAAAAATAATACAATTGAAAATTAACTATTTGATAAATTATATTACCACAACATATCTATTTGGGCACTCATTCTCAAAATCAGATGGAATGAGCCTTTATTGTCTGTAACTGACCACCAATATAATCTCAGTACAGGACTTCAAGTTCAGCCTTAAACACAATGGCAACATATGCAAAATGTGCAATTGTATGATTAACAAATCAGATATGAAATTGCAATGCCGATTTTAAATTCAGAGTACAGTTTCACTGGAAAAGGTTAAAATCCTTAGTGAGAAATAAGTTAATTTGATCCTAAAGGTATCATTAAAACCTTACATTGCTTAAAAATGATATAATATTCAATTTCTTCTCTCAAGAGGTCCACAAAAAAGTCGGGAAAGCTTATATTTACTTGTTAGAAGAGATTGATAAATTAGGAAGACGCTTAAAGTCAATTATACTATAATATTATTTTTGGAAAAGCTAATGATTTAAGATAGATAATAACAATATATGTGCAATCTTGACATTTATTAGTTCTATTGAGAGCAGGATTGAGTTTACATAGATATAAGAAGATGTGGTATGAGTGCCAATGAGACAACTCTCCATCCAAGTCAAAATTTATAAAAGTAAACCATTATAGGTCACAGTATGGTCTTCAACACGGAGCCATGGCTCACACATGCATGCATATCAAAGTTAAATCTGTCCTATTCTTAAGTTAAAGGATTTTTTATTATCAATATAAAAATAAGGAGATGTGGTATGATTACCATTGAGACAACTATCCACCAAAGTTCATATGAAGTGGATGTCAAGTTAAATCTCTTTTATTCTTAAGTTAAATGTGTCTTTTATTCTCAATTTAAATCTGTCTTTTACTCTTAATTCAAATCAGTTTGAAATCAAATTATATACATAGACATCAAGTTTCTTTTTATTGTAACAATTCCCAGACAGGTACATATGCACTCATATTCATATTCAAAATAATTTTGGATAAAAAGCCATTTTTAATTTCACTGAAAAAATTTTGAATTTAGAAATTTTCTGAAGACAAGTTAGACAAATATTAGAAGTCAAATGACTCTTGAAAAAAAATAAAACCACAAATAACTTTTATAATAATATGAATATTGTTCCATGTCATGAATCCTTCATTATTTCAATTATCTGATGCATGAAAATAAGAAAGAACATTGTAGCTCAATAGGGTTTTTTTTGGGGGGGTGGGGGGGACCCCTTCAAAAATTGTAGGCCACTGCCAAAAAAATGTTACTTACCACATATTCTTGTTGATTACAAAGCACCATTTTGATTTTGTTTTTATGTCACTTCAACAGAGCTTCAAAATCCGATGAAGTAATTTTCAAAAAAATAATAAAACAACTTTTTAACATCACTGAGTTCTTATTGTCAACTATAATCACAATTTCATAGAAAAAGTCCTTTTTAATTTGAGTCCTTCTCAATATGCATTATTTTTTTTTTCTATTTCAAAATAGAAAATAATTCGGCAAAGTTCTAAAATGTTCTAAAATAATCTCGATCAGCTACAGATATCTACGGTTTAATGTCTATTGTTTTCCACCCTTTCCTAATCACTGCAAAAAAGTTGGTTAAACAGTTGCAAACTGACCAATATATAATTGCAAATTTCAAAATTTTTCGTTAAAACATTACATCTGATATGCATCTATGCAAAACCGCCAACTGATACAACTGGAGCAGCTACACTAGTAAATAGATATATAACAGTTCAGTCAGAAATCAATTAGCGCAATCAATTCATAACGACTCGATGGAAAAATCAATACAGCTTAGAATTTTACATCGTGACGTGACAGCTAACATATTAAAGGCAATATTTAACCAATTTCTGAACATCTTTTACTTTATTTTTCAATTTCATTATTTTTCATTTTAGAAAAAAATACAATGTTTATACAATTAGATTTGATTGATTGTCACAACGGTTGCTTAACGTCCAGTGGCAAATATTTATAATTATATATATATTTGGCAGCTACCTTTAAAGAGATATTAAAGAAAATTCCGAACATATTTTATTGTTATTTACTATATATTCATTTCATAAAATGAATAAAATGAACAAATATATCATATTCTATGACTTTGAATTAATATCTGCTAATTTTTTAATCATCATAATTTGTAAAGCTAGATTGATAGATTGGTTGGTGTTTAACGCTTTCAGAACTGTTGTGCTACTTTGTGGCAGTCAGTTTTTATATCAGTTTTTTATCATTTTTAATCTTTTCACAATCAAGAAAGGTTTTTTTAGAAACCAATTACTTTTTTTTAACAAACTGCTATTTAATAGAAAATGGGAAACAAATTGTTTTTCTATACTTCAAAGATCACATTTGTTTATAATGAAAAAAAAAAACAATAAAATTTGAGGGACAGATCTTCAAAGCCCTTCTAACTCCCACCCCTCCTTAACTTAAATGGCTCTCTTCCAAGTAGTTCTCATAATATTAAAGCCCAATAAAATAATTTGTTGGTCTCAATTTGCTTGTTTATCCATTTTTTCTGTCTGCAGTTTTTCTCTATGCATAACTGTTTTTAAAAGAAGGACGAAAGATACCAGAGGGACAGTCAAACTCATAGATCGAATAGAAACTGACAACGTCATGGCCAAAAATAAAAAGACAAACAGACAAATAATAGTACAGATGACACAACATAGAAAACTAAAGACTAAGCAACACGAACCCCACCAAAAACTGGGGGTGATCTCAGGTGCTCCGGAAGGGTAAGCAGATCCTGCTCCACATGTGGCACCCGTCGTGTTGCTTATGTTATTACAAATCCGGTAAATAGTCTAATTCGGTAAGTCACATTCGTGAAAAGGGAAGGGTATTGTAGTTACGACATAAGGAACATATCCGATATCATCTGTGAAACGGCTATTCCATAACGGTCAACCAACTCGTGATGGCGTCTGTAAAATTTACGAAGGGATGACTTCAACTTCACCATTTGGAACTCTTGGTTTTATAGCTTCCTTGTGAGCAGCAATTTTTAAGATAATATCCAAAATCATCAAAAGTTTACTAAAGGGCAATAACTTGGATATGGAGTCAATGAATGCTTTCAATTATTTAGAGGTTTTGAAGATCTAGTATCAGGTTTTTTTTTTCATTTTAAGTCACTTTTCTCTAATTCTCTATATTTTTTGCCCAAAATTCTCTATTCTGTATTTTTTTGCCCTATTTTTCTCGATACTGTATTTTTTTGGCCCTATTTTTTCTCTACACTGTATTGTTTTGCCCTATTTTTCTCTATACTTTATTTTTTTTGCCTTTTTTTCCTCTATTCTTTTTTTTTTGTAAATATTTCTGTACTGATCTGGCTCATTATTCTGTATTTTGTAAACCCCATTCAGACCTTTATGTATTGCTGCATGTGCACTTTTGCTCTTTACAGTTTCTATTTATCTATTATAAAACTTTTCAAGATAAGAAGCTATTAAAATGCAAACATCTGTCAAAAATCATTTAAGGGCAATAACTCCTATGAGGAGTCAATAATTGGTCAATAATTGGTTCCAATAAATTTATCATTTTTAGATCTTGTCTTACTGATCATGTTTGCTGTCTACAGTTTCAGTCTATCATACCTTTCAAATCAATATTTGAAATACCCAAAATTTAAAAACAAATCATCATTTAAGGGCAACAACTTAGTTTTTATTTAAGGGCAACAACTTAGTTTTTATTTAAGGGCAACAACTTAGTTTTTATTTTAGGGCAACAACTTAGTTTTTATTTAAGGGCAACAACTTAGTTTTTATATGGTTTTAGCCTTATTGGCATTTTGGTAAATCTTGTTTTGCTGATCATTTCTGCTTTTTTATAGTTTCTTGACCCATATGTTCTATTTTTAGCCACAGTGGCCATGTTGATTGATTAGCAGGGATAAAAAAACACAACATTTCTTCTATATATATACCCCATTGTCATTCAACCAAATTCTGGTAGAAATTTGTCCTGTAGTTTCAGAGGAGAAGATGTTAAACAAGTAAAACTGTGAGCTACTGCTCACTGATGATACCCCCGCCATAATATTTCGGTAAACAGGAAGTTGTTGAGTGATGAATCTGAAAACGCATCACACAGTATAGCTGACTTTTATAAACCCTGAAACCAAATTTCAGAAATCCTTGTCAAGTAGTTCCTGAGAAAAATGTGACGAAAATTTTCAACTTGGCTATCATGTGTAAAATAATACAAGTGTTCGGTAAACAGGAATTTGTTGAGTGATGAATCTGAAAACACATCACATGGTGTAACTTACTTATATAAACCCTGAAACCAAATTTCAGAAATCCTTGTCAAGCAGTTTCTGAGAAAAATGTGACAAAAATTTTCATGGGACGGAAGGACTGACGGATGGACTGACGGAAGGACAGACAGAGGTAAAACAGTATACCCCCACTTTTTTAAAGCGGGGGTATAAAAATTCATGAAGACAGTCAACTGATGATGACAGACACCAATTGATGGCAAGAGGTATCATGGCCCACATGGTCAGGCAAGCTGATAAATATCCATACTGATGATGACAGACACCAATTGATGGCAAGAGGTATCATGGCCCACATGGTCAGGCAAGCTGATAAATATCCATACTGATGATGACAGACACCAATTGATGGCAAGAGGTATCATGGCCCACATGGTCAGGCAAGCTGATAAATATCCATACTGATGATGACAGACATCAATTGATGGCAAGAGGTATCATGGCCCACATAGTCAGACAAGTTGATAAATATCCATACAG